TCCTCGACAGTTCCGTGACCCATGGCCAAACCGTTGGCATTTAAAACACCGCTGAGGGTTTGGCACATAGGGGCGGACGCGGCATTGGAGATATCCTGCCTTCACAACTTCAGGAAGTGTAGTTGACTCAAATGAGAGGATGATGTGTTTCGTCTTGCGTTCAACACCATCGCGGCGAAGGGTAATACGCCGAGCAACGATTTCCCCCTGTGTAGAAAGGCCCTCAACTACTTCGGTTTCTGTACATTCGAGCAGGTCGTCTTCTGAGATCACCCCTTGAATTGTATTAAGTGTTCTATGAGGTGTGACAGTGACTTTGTAATCAGTCACGCAGTTTAGTGCTAATAGTGAATCACTTTGTTGCTTACTGTGTATCTCCACTAGGAGATCACCAGATGCCACCTTTTTTGCATTGTAGTTCTTCCCAATCACTCCTTCAAGAACTTTTGAAATGAGGAAAGGGGACAACTTGCCAAGCGGTTTTTCATCCTCAGAGTGCATGACAAGAAACTTGGGGAACTTTGAAAATGTGTAGGTTGGTTTTTCTATGTATAGTGCTTCGGTGCGGACCATTTTCGGGGCCCGATCAAAAGGTTTTTTTGCTTGAGAACCCATATGAAGGGGGAGGGTTTTCGGAAACTGTGGTGCACCGCCCACCACCGAGCCCAACAAGGGAATAGGTAACGCTCCATAACAAGAAAGGCTTGGCTGAAGACGTTACTCTATTAGTGCTGCCCAGTCTCTGTAACCAAGAGTGGTTCTCGACAAGGTGTCTGTCGCCACCCAAGGTTAGCCCTTGCCGCCAAAGGAGTTGAAAAGGAAAGAAGAGAAATGAGGAGAGTGAAAAGGAGGACAAGGGTGAAAGTAGAGAGGGGATAGTAGAAGTGGCGACTAGACTGAATCATCCTGGCCGGGCCTTACCAGGACTCCCGTCTACGAGAAGCAGGGGCCGAAGTGGTGTATTGCCTCACCCGGGGGGCCCCGAAGGGTCCAAACCTACCCCGGGCTCGGCTCAACCACCAGGATGCCCTTTTCCCCGGACACGGGAAAGCCACGCACAGCCATACGTGGGCGGGCGAACCCGCATGGCTCGGGGTCCGTGGAGACGCCACTCTCCAAACACCTGCTTTCACAGGTGCCCCCTGCGGGGTGTTAGTTCTACAATCCCAGTTGCGAATAATGTTATCAGTAATCGTTTGTACTCTTTCAAGAATACGCATATGTTACTCACAGTATGATGGCGTTCCCATGGGCACGAGGCGCATTCATCAAGGCCTGACCAAAGTTTAGTGAACCGTAAGATTCCCTTGCAGTGGGACTCTTGAAAGGGTTTGTCGAATGGCCCATTTCAAAACGTGCTAAACAAACGTTATCAATGTGCTCATTTTGTCATAAGCGTTCGGCAACTGTTATGTATCAAACGTTATCGTCATAGATTTCTTTATTTGTAGCTAACATATTTTACACGAGGGACCCATAAAAATCCCGCAATCATGTTAGTGGAGGTTGTTCAAACCTTTATTACATCTTGGGTGGCGTAAGTTTCAATCAGTTCATGATTTAGAAAATTTATTCCGCTAGATTTGTTTTTGTTATTTGGTACTGTTGAGTACAAATTGTGAAATGTTTTTCTATGCCCTCCATGATAAAAAAACTAACACGCCAAATTGTTTCTGACAGCCTACTTAATCAATTTTAGTTGACTTCACTTTCTCCTTTTGGCATCATCAATAGCCTGTTCCTGTTTCTATCAATGATGCTCCTATACCGGGCCTTTCTGCGAAGACATCGGAACATCACAAAAAAAGGTGTTTAATAAAAAGAAATGGACTATTTTCTGGTGCAAACTTCCAACAATGCGGACGTCAGGAATTCCCCCCCAAAAAAACTAAATATATAATCAAATAATTAAAGTACATTTTCTTATTAATCTTTTAATTGGTGGAAAATCACATGGCTCCAAAAATAAACATATTCAGCGTCATCAGAAACCCCTAAATATATACATTTTAGGGTGACTTTAAGCACTTGGGAAACAGAGGGTCAGAGACCACTCGTGTTGCTGGCGGAGAGCCGGCGATGCAAAAAAACTGATAAAAATGGTAACTCCGCGCTTCCCACGTGGCTTTTCACATTGGCTGGCAACTTGATTCCCTCCAAAAAAGTGTTTTTTTTTCTCTCAAGCACCCTACATTTACAAATTTATGAAATCTGCGCAGAAGCATCCAGTATATATAATTTAGATCTCGCCGAATTAATCATTTTCAAGCTTCTGCAATATATGTACCATCGTCTGAATGTATTAGGCTAAAAATAAAGTATAAATATATATATATTCAGTTTGCAAGGAAGAAATTTAAATAAATACTTAGCGTAATGTGTTGGTTGGATTTAAAGCTAATATTTCAATTTAAATATTAGTTGTCAGATATTTAAATTAATACTTTAAAGCGGATCATAAAACGATTTTTCAACTTTTTCATATTAGCTTTCCTCCTCAACTCACAAATCGCGCAGTGTATCACATAGTTCAAGAAGAGGGCAAGGAGGAACTATCCTCTTCCTCGGACCCTCATTTGTCTACATTGACCATCACCATTCTCCCCCTAGAAGAATAGCCCGTCGCTCAAAGTCTGGACAAAAGTTGTTTTTCCCACCCTGTTCGCCACTAAGCTGACAGTGCTGTGGAAGCTACGAGCTTGTTGGGCCCATCACACTTATATATTTTTTCCTTGTGATCACTTTCCTTGGCGCATATACGTGCAGAGAATAGAGTCAGGTGATGAGACAGAGGCGGCTGATTGGTCAGGCAAGCTCGTAGCTCCCACCGCACTGTCAGCTTAGGGGGGGGAGGGAATATACTGAAGCCGTGTGTCGTGTGACGTGTGTTAGGGCCGGGTGACGCACTTTGGGGGTAACCCGGATGTATCACAGTGAAAAGGCAAAGAGCTTTCGAAGGGAAGGAGGTACGAAATAATTTGCCGTTTTCAAATTTTAGTACCGAAAATCAGGATTTTACTTTCTACCTTCTTTCTTTGGGCCTACTAAACAATATGCTATTAGTAAAATCCCAATATAAATTAATTTATTACAGCCCAAAATGCGTTTTATAGCCCCATTAATCTTTGTAAATTGTATATTTTTATTGAACATGAACTAAACATATTCAAAATCTCCGATCCGAATTCAAGTGAACATATATTGTTACGATTTAACTACATTCATTATCTACGGCTTCCAATTTATGCAAAACACGTGGAGCGCTCTTCTAATAACTGAGGTTTTATTCTGCGACAACTGTCTAGCGCCGTCCATAAATAATCATGTAATATTAAATACTTACTCCGCGTTGCCACTCGTAACGCAATATTTTACTCTCCAAGTATGCGTAACCGCATAGAATGCTTTTTTTATAAAGTGTGTCCCAAACTTATCAGCCGAAAAGTTCTATACCCCCCAGCAGGGATGGGCAGTATTTCAAAGGCAAGTATTTGAAATACGTATTTTAAATACTTTGTGTATTTTGCATTTGTATTTAAATACAAATTGGGTAATGTATTTGACGTGTGTGTTTAAATACTAAAACGTTGGTATTTCAAATAAAATTGTAATTAAATACAATTTTGTGGGCAAGAATACATCCCTCAAATTTATTGTCACGACTCATTTTGCTCGTCCTAAGACGTGTCCAAAGCTGCTCTTTCTTCATCTCAACGCCAACGGCAGCAACAAACCGAGAAACTCTTCATTTCTTAATACACCGGTCTTGCGGCAGTTCGCGTAGAGCGCCTATTTTCCCTTGGCAGCCTTATTCTGTCCCCCAACAGGCGTCGTTTTAGCGACACATTGTTCGAAAAGCTACTGCTGCTGAAGTCGTACTGGTCGAAACTTCACAAATTAGCATGCACCAAAGTTGCACTGTACTGAGAAGGTCTCCTCTTTAATGTTGCACTTGCCTCTATTACGTTAAATAAATGTTATTGCCAAAGTTACAATTCTTGTTTTTATGCATGTGGTTGTAAGATATAGTATACATCCTTTATTTGGCCATGGGGCTTTTTTCTTTTTCTCCTCCGGCTTTATTTTAAAGGCACTGTCCAGAGCAGGAAGAAAACTACGTTCTGCACCTCTCAATTATGCACAAGCGTTTAGAGACTTTGTGATTACGGTGCTAGTCGAGGGAAAGAATAGTGATGAAATCGACATTCACAGGCAGACTGGCTAAATAAGTGCCTGTGACAACTTGTGATGCTTTCCAGCCCGATTGCCATCCTTATTTTTGCCTGGAACATTCTAAATGCGCGGGTTGTCCAGATTTTCGTAACTGGTGCGAGTTGCAACAATAAAAAATTTTCTAGCTAGTGCTGCGCGTCTTGGTCTTCTCGGTTCTTTGTTGGTCTATACCCAAATGTAATCGACAAAAAAAGCTGCTTAAAGCTCTGCACTTTTTCACCTATTACGTCCAAGCTGATTACATTTTTTGTGATTATATTTCTATTATGTTACTAGAGTCTCGCACACTAACTCCCGAGTGTGCGATGCAAAATTTAAATGAGATACCCAGAAACCCGTTGCAGGTGCCCTCAAGTCGCTGACGCAGATTTTCAGGAATGTATTTGGAAAAGTATTTGGAGGAGACCAAATACATTTGGCTGTATTTGTATCTTGTACTTAAATGCTTTTTTGGAAATGTAATTAGATTTGTAATTAAATACATTTTTGACGAAGTATTTTGTATTTGTATTTTGATACATATTTCCATGTATTTTGCCCATCCCTGCCCCTCAGCATCTTTCGCCTCAAAGTAGAACTTAGAAATATGACTCGACCAGAAACGAAACCGTACTTACTAAACAGCATAAAAAATGGTAGAAGCTTACATCGCTTTGAGACAATTTACAAACTTTCACTGAAAAAAAACACTTAAACAAAATTTTCCAAGCATTCCTCAAACAGGCTATATTTAAATTTTCAAATGTTTTTGTCCACATTTATTTCAGCCATACAAAATCGACCCTTGAGTCGTCCCCTGGGTATACCGTCAAAAACGTCCTAAGTTTCACTCCTCCTACACAAGGTAAGCATGCTTGAAGGGTATTGTGCAGCCAATCAGAGTTTTATTTGTTTTAATCGAAAGGAATAGCAGGAAGTCAAATAAGATGTTAGCGAACTAAGTTCATTTTGCTTCGAGTAACAGGGAAGAACATTGATACGATGTGATTGCGCTCTAAGTTGGATCATTTGAGTTATGCCACAACGAGATTATTCACGTCCACTAGGGTTCCGTGTTTACGGTAAATACCAATAAACCGACAAAACGTAACCCCCAAGCCGGTTTTATGAAAATCGGAGATCACGGAAAAATTGCTCCTGAATAAAAAAGGAACACTTCCCGGTAAAACAATCCTTCTGTACAGCTTTATTTTTGTTGACCTGGAGCACAGCCTCTAATTAATTGTCCGCAAGGCTTCTCCTTGCTTCGAAATCAGATGTTCTATTTTATTTTGTATTATTGGTTCAGGGACGTTTTTCGCGTATTCGAGCCACGCGAATGTTCCCTAGAAGTTGCGGAATCACATGCGCCGGTCCTTCCTACTTAGACATAACCGCCGAAGATCCCTGATTTTCGTCCGACTCTGTAATATCTTACCGAAAATGTGGCAAACAAAAATATAAACTCCAAATAAGCACCTCGGATTCGCAGGCGAAGAAACAACGAAAACATGGAACCCTAATTGTGATGATTAAGTGTGGAGCATGACGTTCTGCTTTTGTTTTTAAAATGTAACATTATTTTTGTAAATTTTAAGTAAAAAAACAAGCTACTTCTTTCAAGCGAGTCTAATATCGTGTGACCCAAGTCACCAGGCTCGATTTAAAATGGACCGTAAAAATCGACGCCAGCACGTAGCAATCTAAACTTTTCGTCAAAAGTGTATTTCACAGGTCGGTTTTTTCTCGTAATATTACAAAGCGTAGCTTTCTTTCTGTAAAAAATACGGCCCAGAAACTTGCCAGAGTCTACGGCGGGCGGCGATGCAGACGATCAAGTCCAGTAGCGGGTCGTGCTTGGCGTTCGTATTGATAGATGGCGTCGGGAGCAGCGTCCGAAGGTGCAGCCGACCAGCGAAAGAAAGCAGACGACGTGCAGACGAAATCCGTTGGCAGCAAAAGCGCCGTCGTTATGCAGACGAATTGTTTTTTCTTTAAGTTTTGCTTTTATTGTCCCCATTTATTTTTTAACCGAAGGGACATTTTAAAAAGGTTATGTTAATTTTAATAAACCACGGTGGTCACGAGCCGTCGATAAGGAGGTAACACCATCTATCAATACGAACGCCAAACACACCCCGCTACTGGACTTGGTCGTCTGCGTCGCCGCCCGCCGTACCTGGCAAGTTTCTTGGTCCTATTTTTTAGAAAAAGAGAACTACGCTTTGTAATTTTACAAGAAAAAAACGACCTGTGAAATACTCCTTTGACGAAAAGTTTAGAATGCTGCATGCAGGCGTCGATTTTTACAGTCCATTTTAGATTGAGCCTGGTGACTTGGGTCACCCTATACGTTCACTCCATGTTGTCTTTTGTATTTTATACAAAACACCGAGACTGGGGGAAAGGAAGCACAACACGAAGGACAACACGTGTTGTGTTGTCTTTTCTTTTTCTCCCAGTCTCGTGGTTTTGTCTAAAATGTTAAACCTTCACCAGCTTGTTTGCGCCTTAACCTTTTTTGTCTTCTTTCATTTGCAGCAATTACCGACTATAAAGAGTACATATCATATGTGGAGTGCGACAAGTGCGCCGTTCTTAGAAACGTCTACATCAGTGGTAAGTGCGCTGTGGTTTCTTAAAAATCCACTTAGGTGTATTTTTTTATTTCTTTTTTTTTATATGCACAAATGTAATTGAAAAACAGAAGCTTGCAAGTTTCAGTTCTGTATGACAACAATGGGGACTTGTCTCAACGTTTAGCCAAAAGTCTTTCATCTGCCTGCAATGAACCATTTTCGAAAGATCGGCAATCCACGTTGTCCAGAAGCAACCTGACGTTCTAATGGCGATATTAGACAATTTCTCTGTACCAGAAACAACGAGCGTCTTCGAAAGTGTAAATCCATAAAAGGGTTACTTACAACTTGGTCCTGTACATCGTTATTCGCGACTCTAATTCGCTATAGGCGGCGCCACTCGTTTTTCCAAATGCCGGTTATGGTAAGGGTCAGATTTTAGAGCCGGTATACCAGGTATTGAGCCTGTCTAGTGTGCTGGCTTCACTGAACGACGCAAATTATTCCCACTTATACCAGAAAGCCAGTCTGCTATGATCGCAGGTCGCCTCTGTATTCTGAAGCAAGAACGGTGTTTAGCGTAATATTTGTTGTGTACTGCATCGATAGTGGTGACCACAGCATTAGCCGGCGCCAAATCACCGTGAAGAAACGCTCACATCGACACAATTTAGCGACGCGACTTGTCTCAGGCGAGAACTCTAAACGAATGAGAAGTCATCGACACCATTTTCGTTGGTCTCGTCGAGCGAGGCTTACGCGATTGTCCAAGTGGGAACGCGGAGCACGTCGACGGCGACTAAGTTGGACGGTGAGGTAACCGTCAAGTTCTTTTTCCATCGTTTAACAGAAAGTCACGTGCACAAACTATAACACAGGCACAGCTCTGCGATGTAAACCTGAATCACTTCGAGAAGCTAGCGTCCCTCGCCGGGGCGGACATTAAAAACAGCGTGCGCGATGCTGGATACCATATGTTGTCAAGTCGTGGCGTCAGTGCCGTTAAACAATGAGTGGAAGCGATTGGCTGGCGGCGCAATATGCGTCCATTTGAGGTGCGTTTGCGGCTTAAATTCTTAACCTATACTATATCTATAGTTGTCTTAGCCCCTTGTTTTATTTCTTATTTCTTCGCAAGCGTCGCGGTTGTGGAACAAAAAGGGAAATGAGATTATTCCAACCCATAGAAGTAACAATGCGCTTCATCTTTTAAAAATGCGAACTTTTAAGTTTGATAACATCTGTAAGCGAACCTTGTGCACTTTTCCGTCCGCGGCTCGGTTCCTGACCAACTGTGCAAGGTGGTTCTGGAAACGCGGGCCAAATCCCTCCTTCAAAAAGTACGCATCACCGGAAAAAGGCTGATCTCGTATTGGTCTCTGGCAAAAAGCCTATTTGGAGATATTAAGGAAGTTTGTATAATTCGTTTATTAGTAAGTTTCGAGTGATTGACTTCTTAATTTGTAAATTTAAAGATTTTTTGTTAATTTTGAATTCGGCTTATCATCCTCGAAAACCACTAAATCAACTCATTATAGAAAGATATAAGGCACCTGTAGCGTTTTTCGCCGTTCTCAAAATACACTCAATTTGAAAGCGTGTCTAGGTTTCCGTTTCCTCCTGGAGCGCATCATGGCACTAGCGGTTGTGCACTCTCGTGACCGGGGCGCGCAACTACCGCCTCATCTCCGTCGTAAAACGGAAGCAAGTGTTGTGTACGTACGTTGCACCCCTCAGCCTCAAGGGCAGGACCGTGCCAGATGCGCTCCGACAGGAAACGGGAACCTAGAAACGCGTCCAAATTGAGCGTTCTTTGGGAACGCCGTGTAATGATGTACGTCTATTATATCTTCCTAAAATTAGTTGATTTAGTGATTTCCCATGATGCTCAGTAAGTATCTAACTGGAATCATACTTTTAGATTTACAAATTATAAATTCAAACTTATTTGCACTATTTAACAAGCTAATAATACCGAAAGTTATTCATTTTTTTTAATGGGATCTTCGAATAGACCAACACGACATTGTGAATTTTCTATCTGATACGCACGTTCAGACAGATACGTATTTCGGGAAACTCCAATTATGCATTTCGGGAAACTGCGTTTCGGGAAACTCCAATTATGCATACAGGGGCGATGTCCGCAACGAATGTGATCCTTACTAGAGCGGGTGTTTCAGCGAAGGCTAAAAACTTTCAAGAATTAGTGTATTCGAGCTAAAGAGATCATTTTCTCGGGACCCCATTACTCGTGGTGGCGGACGTCAGAAAATACGCTATACATAATAGCTAGTTCGCTAATTAATTATAAATGACTCATTAACTTTTTTTTAAATTAATGACATCAGACATATAGTTCCAATTATAAACTTTTTGAGCGCAAACGAAAACCACTAAATCAGTAATTTTCAGAAAGACTTTGAGCGCGTGAGAAGCTTAGTGGTGTGCTAATGTTAACAGTCGTGGAGAGGATACAAGGCTGGGGCTCTGATAAGAGACAGAAAATTCGCATAAGCACCTTATCGCAACCGCTAGCATTGTACCTGCTTCTCGAGTGGTAACTTCAGCGCACTACTACACTTTTCAAGCGCTCAAAGTCTTTCTAAAAATTACTGAATTAGTGGTTTTAGATGACACTCAACAAGTTTCTAATTGGAACCTTCTGTCGATATTCACTGAATAAAAAGTTCATTGGTCATTTTGATTCATCATCATACTAATTAGTAAGTATCGCGCATTTTCTGACGTCCACCACCACGAATAATGGGGTCCTGAGTAAATTATTTTTTTACCTCGAATGCACTAAATTTAGAAATTTTTGTAAGCCTTCGCTGAGACACCCGGTATTATTGCTTGTGAATGGCAAGTATACAGTTAGCAAAGGTCCTATTTCGTTTATATGCATAATATGTTTATATCCGTAAAGTTAACTTAGAAAAATTGAAAGTACAGAAAGTGCCACAACCAAAGCCTTTGGTTCGAGGCTCTAAGTAGAAAGTTAGATAAAAAAAATTTAAGAAATTGTCTTGAATTTGGTAGACGTCTCCATGGACATCGACCAGAAATATTTGTAGAATTTGACAACACTTCCTAAGCAGTACAAAACGGTACAAAATGCCGCCGCATTTCAAAGACGTGCCTAAATCTGCGCAGCGAATTCGACAACACTTTTTTTAGTACTGTTTAACTTAATTTAGTTTGTAATGAGTATCTCGGGGGACGAAACCTTTAAGTCGCGTTTTTTCTGTAATCATTTATTTATTTATTTCGACCTTAAAAGCCCTTTCGGGCATTACATAAGGGGAGCGTAATACAAAGATTGAAACAACTGAACCGAGTGGGGAAACAGTGATGTACCAACATCTAGAAAATCGATCTTTCTAAACTACGCAGATTCTTCGTGCTCTCTCCTGGTGCCTCAGTCTCAGCTGAACAAGGATGTCACCTGTTGTGAATTTATATTCGACCTTCTTTGCGGCACGACGCCTAAGTACAACATCTATGATGAGAGCTGTTAGGGGCAAGGTAGAACGACATCTTTTTTCAGCTTGATTTTGTGGAGCAACGTATATTGATACATATAATAAAGATGCGGTGGTGGCGATGTCTAACTTGAATGCCTGTTTTGATTTGTTTTAATATTAGAAAGACAACAAACAATTTTCATCTTTCAATTAGCTAAATTAGTCTAATCAACTGATGAATTCATAACTTTTTTTATTCCTAACAGCTGTTATGTAGTACAACCTACACCTACCTTCTCTTCGAGAAATCAATATTTGTGCCATAAAGATGTGGGTGTGGTAATGTAAGGCTTCAGTGGCTGCTTTAATGTGTCGTAGTGTTATGGAAATGTATTTTTAAGGAATGTGGATTTACCAGGCACCTATGAATTAGTTCTGGATTGTAACATTGCCGAAGTGTGTATATGATTAACAGATGAATTAGTAACGCTGCTTATACACCCTTGCGAATGGGATACCTGCTTAGCCTCGAACCGCGAGCCGAGGTTAGGCGGACCTTCTCTCCAGCTGGGACGTTCGCTGCTTGTCGTACAATGTTGCCAAGCGTCTCTTGCTTAAGCGTACACCACTAAGCGCACAAAGAGACTACAAAATGTTTTTTTCTTAACATACAAGTGTTGTCTTTGACTGCAAAAGAGTAGGAACAATTAAATAAAATACCTAAACCAGTAACAAATCGAAAAGTTATAAAAATATCTAAAGTCTCAAGGCGCTGATCAGAATGCGCCAGAAGTCGGATGGTGATTGTATCAGCGATGGCTGCGCTCGCGGCACAGCTGGCTCCCACGACGTGCTGGAACAGAGGCTGCGATCGTTATAAAGTCAGTTCCAACCCTTAAACATGCCCCTCCTATTATATTTGGTGCTACGATTCTGTGTGGATACCTCCTCCTGCGTTCCAGTACAGTAAGTACGTCGCTAACGCTGGCCGTCAGTGTACCGTCGGCAATGCAGTAGACGCCGCCGTCTTGTCCTCGCGCACCTCAATGACGTGCCCCTAGCGCACCCCAACATGGCGGAAACGCTATGCGCCGCCAGCATCGCTCAAATTGGCAAAACACAGGAGCCTTTCCTGGAAACGTGTAGACCTAACAAACAGTGTGGTACTGACAATGATATAATATCGAGTGATCCAATTATCAAAAATTCTTACTCACTCACCGTGTTTCAAATTTATTTTCTATTGAGTCCGCGTGAATCCTTTGACGATTTGGGGTAAGGCCATAAAAACTTGAAAGCATTGTGGTTTTTTACCATGCAAACACAAGTTCGAAATCAACGCTCCGAATAAGAATAAAGATTCTGGTATCTTTCTGTCTTTAAATCGTTATTATTTCAAGAAGTGATTCTGGGAATTTGCTATATGTACTCAGTTAGAAATGTCAGTTTGCTGCTATAAAGTTATTTTACTGAAATAAATAACAATCAGAATTTCAACTTCAAAACCTTTGAGCCGTGAGAAAAATTATATTAGCATACTGCAGAAGAATCAATCCGTATATTTTAATGACCATTTAAGAGGGAAAAATATAAAGGGTACAGGACGTGATATCTGCCCTTCGTTAATCGCTCCCTTACAAATAAAAATTAAGCAATTAAAAAAAAGATTATAACAAAAATAAAATTTACACCAACAGTCAGCAACAAGAAAAAAATGTGCATCGAGTCTCCCGATTCAATATTTATAAGTTTGCGAGCACGTCATTATAAACTGTTTCGGTAGGTGAATAAGACCGGTCTTTCATACTATCTGACTTTACGCGACACTGAGTCACGTGTGCTAATAAGAAAAATACATGTGCATGAACTGTTTCCAAGAATCGGAATAAAATATAATATGCACATATTAGATATTTGTCCAGAATGAAGTAAAAAAAAACAACCCTGGTATTCTCAAAAGAGTAAAACAGTAAACAGGGGGGGAAAACAGAACTGTTCCACTGTTCACTACCACACACGGGGAGACAAGTGTAAAGAACGAGTAAGTAAGGAAGTTTATTAGACGAACAATCGAGGCAACATACGCTGAACTTGTACAGAATGAGATTGGACAGAACGCAGGAAGCAACACGGCACAAGACGGGGATACTAACGAGATAACTGAGACGACCACGGGGGAATGAGATAAAGCAGAATGTAAAGTATCGGCTGGAACTGGGACAAGCTCAGATATAGGAATAAAACTAGTTAAGACGCTAGCATCAAAAATCGAAGTTAAGACAGGCAACTGATCAAATAATAATGGCTAGATATGTACTCAATAATCATAATCAAGAATCAAGAATCAATAATAATTTTTATTAAGTGTCCAGGAACGACCATGCGCTCTTGCTACTGGCATACCGAAACTTACACACTACAAAAAAGTGCGGATGAAAAAAAAGGCAAAAAAACCTCAAATCATCGAGTAAAAGACATGGTACATATAACGCATGCTGACACAAAGATACGATTACACAGCAAGCAAAGAACGGAACACAGGGTCCAAACGCAGGGTAGAAGACTACCACAAAAATGAATATACCTTATTAAAATAATATATAATAACATCACACTCACGAGTGGTTTAGCGTGACTCATGCAAGACTCTGAGAGGTCTGACGAACTTAGTCACACAAAAAAATATCAAGATGACTTGCAATGCTATTATATGCCCGACACATACAAAACATGGGGTCCAGGATATTTAACCTCCGACGAGAGTACAAAGACGTTGTCAAACGGGTCGCTGTCCGAGGAACTCGTAAAGATATCCATGAGAGCAGTTCTGAACAGTGGGCCATGCCATGAAGGACTTTGAAAAGGAAAACCAGATCTGCCTTTTCTCGGCGGTGATATAAGCTGTTCATATGTAGGACGTCCTGTTACTCTTTCATAGAGATGTTCTATCGCGCAGATATCGGTATCGATAAATAGATAAAATTAAGTTTTGCACTCGCTCCTGCCTTAGGAGGGTAGTTTTACAACTACCATTCCATACAGGAGGTGCGTCTTCGATGTCAGATAATAATAATAGTTATTATTATTATAATAACAGTATCGAATAATAATAATAATAATAATAATAAAATTTATTCAGTAGTGCAGGTGTAGCCAGTTGAGTATCGGGTCCGATCAAAGCCATCAGGGACTTGTGGGACCAGACCCTTCACTGGAAAATACAAAAAAGGAAGTTCGCACGGAATAACATCACGTGCAGGAAAAAAAAGCAAATAACATACAGATGATTCACTTGACAGGATGTAGTCGGAATGCTTGTGTGAGTGACTTGGGTGAAGCTGTGAAGAAGAAACTATAGCAAACGTTGTCTTGATCACTGTGTCAATTGCAATCATTAAAGTCATAAAAGTAAAAAAAAAAACACTGAGGCATGAGTATTTTTAAACACTGTAAGAGTACATTCGAAGACACAGTCCTTGAATTCATGAGTCTTTCTCTCAAATATTTCATATGTTCAGTAAGAGAGAAAAAAAAAACTTATTACTAGAAAGAAAATCATTCAGTCAACGGGTCGAAGACAAAAAAACTTCACGCAATAAATGCAGTCGTCATTTGACATGTCCAGCGATTACCACAAAAAGCACGTACAACACCATACTACAAAAGAAAAGGAATATAACATGAGAAAAAGTCACTATCTAGCCACATCGGCGAACATGTTTCTCAGAGAGGTCTTCAGCATTTTTTTTTAGGTAATGGCAAGCAGAGCAGCTGGAACGTCGTTAAAAACCTTTGGCACATAAAAGGAACGCATGCTTTCGCCATAGTGAGTTCTCACTCGAGGAGATTGAAAACGCAGAACAGATCTAAGCTCGCGAGATGGACTGGCCGAGACCTTAAACTCACTATCCCAGAAGTGTAGCCAAATTACTGTTTGAAGAAAGAGTGAATGAAAACACGGTAGCTTAAGTGAAGCAAACAAGCTCGTACTAGATGACATGTGTGTGTTGTATGCTACACTCTTCAGAATTCCCCTTAACGAACGATCAATTCTTGAGTGCCAAAAGAGGGGACAGTTAAAAAATACGCTTATGCCATACCTTAGCGTACTATAGGCTAACGCGTGCATAATGCTGTTTCTAATTGACAAAGGTAGAAACGGTTTGATATTGTAAAGCAGACATGAGACAGTTCTTAATCGTTGGCATATATATGACATGTGAGAGTTCCATGAGAGATCACTGTCGAAGTGAAGACCTAAATACTTTACGGAGCTAACATATTCAACTGGTGTACAGTTAGGGCATGAGCAATTGGTGTTGTGGAGAAATAGCTGAGAAGTCAGGCTTACATTTTTTAAAGGGCTATAAAAGCACACCAGCTTCGTTTTTGAAGAGTTTACCCGAAGCTTGTTGGCAAAAAACCAGTCCATTATTTTAGCGACATCGATCTGAAGCATTTCAATTGCTCGCTCGTACACTAGATGTCGAGAAAGTATAAGGGTGTCATCGGCATAATAATAATAATAATAATAATAATAATAATAATAATAATAATCTTTATTCTAAAGTGCCCCAAAACAATAAAAAGGTCTTCTCTCTGGTTCACAGAGTGAATCAGGAGCACAGCAAACCAAAAATAGAATTGAAGGTTTCAAAGAGAAAACGATTTAAAACGCAAACAAAATTTCAATTGGGCTACAAGCACTTTCATTTGCTTCACTAATGCCGTGATGTCACTGAATATATCAATTAAGGCATTTTCAATATTGTGATATATAAATTGTGTGCGTAAGAAAGCAGAGGGTTTACAGACAGTGTGAAAATTGAAAGTACTGTGATTTCTCGTGAAACGGAGAGGAAAATGAATATTCACTTCACGTAAAAGCGAACCCCTTTTAATGCGTTATTCACAATATTGTACAGAAAAACTAAATTGCACTCTGCTTTCCTATCGGGCAAAGGTACCACCGAAACCTTTTTAAGAGGAAACGTATAGCCAAAATACAAACAATGTTGAAAGGAGCGATCGTAAACAATAAGTACTAGCTTTTG